CTCCTCTCCTCTCCTGTGGCATGGTGTGTGCGGAGCTTGCAGTGTGTGTGTGGCTTTGACCCTCGAGGAAGCAGGTGGGAGGCACAGCCATGTTGGCCTTCACCACGGGAAAGGCCCAGGAAGCCTGGAGGTCTGGCATCTGGCTTTTCAGCTCTGCAGAGCTGGGTGGGGAGGGAGGGACCGGCTGGGGGATTGCTCTCCATAGGCCTTGGGCACTGCCCAGGGAGCCCTGGCCGCTTATTTTTGTAAATAGGGTGGAGCTCAGCCATGTTCCTTCCTGTGTGTTGTGTGGCTGCTGCCACCCTGGACAGGGTGGCTTCAGTGTCAAAAACCGTGCTGCCCGCCCGCCTGAAGTCCAGCACAGTTTGGGGAGCAGGGCCGCTCCGGGGTGTTTCCATCATGAGGGAAAGGAGAAACATTGTGGGCAAGTTGGCTGGTGATTGCTTGATTTGAGGGTTTTTTGGTACTGGGAATTGAACTCAGGGCCTCGCGCTTGCCGGGCAGGTGCTGTGCTGCTGAGGTACATCCCTGGCTGTCCCTGGGATTTTTAAATTGTACTTTATCGAAGTGTCAGTGTGCAGCAGTTTGGAAAAGCATGGTCCTCTCCTGAGGAGCTTGGGCAGCTGGCGTGGCAGAGAGGCCTCACATGGCCCCGGGGCTCAGAAGCCACACGGTGGTGAGGTCCATGCTGATCTGTTTCGAGCTCTTGGCGAACGAGGACAGAGGCGAGAGTTGGGGACCTTCTGTGGGTTCTGTGTCCACAACTGCTGTCCCCAGGATGTGCTTGAACAAGGGGTTGGCACCCGTTGGTCCAGGCTGGTGCAGGGCCAGCACCTGGACGTGTCACCACCTCCCCTCTCTGGCTCCTGTGCCGTAGCCAGTGTGGTCCCCGAGTGGCCTTCTGTCTGGCGTATCGGCGGTGGCACCAGCACCCTCTGTTGGTGTCACCTCCGGGTGCTGGGGTCTCCTTGGGAGACCAAGGGCCCTGCCACACTGTCAGCCTTGCTGCTGCCCTCAGCCCTCTTCCTGTCTGTTCCAGGCAGGCTGCGGTGCAGCGTCCTGCGCTGCGTTCCTCTCCCCACATCCGTCTGCGTTGCCTTCCTCCAGCGCGGTGTGGGGACCTGGCAGGAGGCCGTTTGGAGCCGAGTCTCCTCATGGCCGGAGCAGCACGAGGCAAAGCACACTGGGGCTGGCATCGGGCGTGATTCTGCTTTGGCCATGTGTACGAGATTTCACTTCAGATACGTTTTGGGGTCTGGTAATGAATTGATATTAACCTCAATGGAAGAAGTGAAACCAGTCTTTCCAGCGGATAGCCTAGTTTGCTGAGCACGTTTGTGTTCATTTGTACTTTTTGAGATGATGGGGCGCCCGTCAGGTGGGGCCAAGTCAGGTTCCAGCCCATCCCGCTACCTCCCTGTTGCTGAGGTCCCAGGGCCCCATGAGGCTGGGGTCGCTGTGAGGCAGTCATTGGACCTGGACGTGGACCCTGCCCCGACCTGGCGGCTCGCACGCTTGCCTAAGGATGCGGACTTGGTTTTGCGATCTCTGTCTGTGAATGCACTCAGCCCAGCTGCTCTTTCCGCAGACAGCACCATTCAGAAAATGAAGTGGCATTTTAACCACGGGAGCGCCTCGCAGATGGAGAGCAGCGTGGCGAAGGTTCAGGAGGAGCTCGGCTTCCAGCCCCCGGTGGTTCTCTCCCTGGAGGACGCAGACGCAGCCCACAGCCTGGCGAACGGGCATGCACCCGTGCACACCGAGCCCGGTGAGTGGCCTCCCCTCCTGTTGACCGAAAGGCCTCAGTGTTTGTCAGACAGGCGTGGGTTTCTTTTTGCTAGAACTGTGCTCGGGTGGGGCATGAATGACGGATGGACCCCGATGCCAGCTGGCTAGGAGTGCGAGCGTCCAGACCGCCAGGTTAGGGCCATCGGGCATCGGCGTTCAGCACGGAGAAGCATGGTTATTTCTCACTTCTGGCTTTACCGTGACTGATTACTAACTAGAGTAGATATTTACAGCCCGAGGGTCCTGTGATAGTGTGAGAGTGGATCCTTACCCAGGAGAGCTGTCCACACGGAACAGTCTGACTAAGTTTTCTGACTGACCTCTTCACTTGGGTTTAAAGTGCTGTATTAAAAGGCTTCATGCTTTTGGCTTTGTGTTTTGGATCAGTCTGTTTCACAGGATAAATTCTGAGACTGGCTGTCATGCCAATCAGTATGCTGTTCTAATTTGCCTTGGGAGAGCACTTAACTTTAGTAGACAGAGCACTAGGTAGCTGACCCCCAGGCTTCTCCTCCTCATAGGCTACTTTGTACTATAATATAATATAATATTCAATACGTAAGTTAATTATAATGCTAATTATATTAATTACATTATAGTAATGCAACATAATGTAATAAGTTATTAAACACTGAGACATGAGCAGTGAGCCTGGCAAGTGTCAGTTTGCCCACGCCCAGGGTGTTCTACTGGTTTTACTCAGCTGCCAGTCCCGAGGCCGGCTCTTTAGTCCTAACGGCATCTGTGAATCGCTCAGTGGGATTGTAGCACTGACAGGTACAAGTTGGGTTTTGCTAGGGGTGTGTGTGCATGAGGAAAGACAAAAAGTATTGATTCTTAGTATTTTTAATTAATTAATTTATTTATTTTGGTACTGGGGATCGAACTTGGCTCCTTGTGCTTTCGAGGCAGGTGGTGGAAGCACTGAGCTAAATCCCTGGCCTAAGAAGGGTTGATTCTAAAAGATCATAGTGAGAGAGGAACAGTGTTTAACTGTGTGAACCAGAGTCAGGTCCACCAGTTACTTCTAAAGAAAGAAGAGGTGCTTGTTTAATGATAGCTCCAGAAACTCTCCAGCGTGTCCCTCCTCTTCCCAGTTACTTTAGAATTTAGAAAGTTGCTGTGAATTGTTGTAGAAGTTACACTGAGCTGAATATTATCAGAAAAAGAATGGAACATTTTACAAGGTGACAGTTGAGGCATGTAATAGGAATGCTGCTCAAATCTGACAACCAGTTTCTGGGATAAGCTCTGGTCTGCCCTGGTAGCATATGAAACTGTTCGGCTTGGGTCCCCCTGTGTCAGGGGTGTCTGGAAGCCTTGGTTGCTGCCTCCTGCAAGATGCCAGTGCCACCCTGTGCCGAGCATGACCAGAAATGTCTCCCGACTTTGCCCGCCTCCTGGGGCAGACTACCCGGCCGAGAGGCTCTGCCGGAGCAGAAAGGGAATCAAGCTCTGGGAGCCCCGTGCGTGCCTGGGAAGGGCTCACTTCCGGAAGGAGCTCAGCTCGCCCAGGGCCGCTCTGTCCTTCACATTTTGCCATTTCCCCAGTGCATTTGGAAGTCTGTGTGTCACCCCAGAGTCTGTCCCTGGTCCCTGGCGGAGGTCTGGTTGAGCCTCCGCTGATCTTTCTTTCACAGAGCTGTCGGTTTCACCAGGTGCTTGTGTTTCTTGTTGTCCAGCTCCCCGTTTCCGCATGGAGCCCGTGACCACCCTGGGTGTCCTGTCCCTTGTCCTCAACATCATGTGCGCCGCTCTCAACCTCATCCGCGGAGTTCACCTGGCAGAGCGCTCATTACAGGTAGCCTGGGCTCTTCACGCTTCCGTCCAACACACGGGTAGCAGGAGCCGAAGGGGAGGCGTTTTGTCTGTGAAGTTACTGTGCTCTGAGGTTGGTGTTCGTTTCGCGTGTGGAACAAGGGATTGAACCCAGGGCCTTCACACCGAGTGACATCCCCACCGCCTTTTTTAAATTGTGAGACAGGGCCTCGCTGGGTTGCCCAGGGTGGGCTGGCAGAGAGACTGGTGAGAAGTGGGCAACTTGCTATAAGGAGACTGGACCAGCGTCTCCCCGGGGACCTGGAGTCACGCCAGGGGCTGCCTTACCCACAGCAGAAGTTGGGGGTCAGGCTCTTCTTGCCCATAGTCCAGTGGGAAAATGCTACAAGCGCGTCTCTGGGCCTTTGTCAAAGAGCTGCGTCCTGAGCACATAGTGGTGTAGTTCTCCCTGCGGGACCACCCATCTCAGAGCAGCTGTGTGCAACCTGTTTTAAAATAGGTGTAAATTTTGAAGTATTTCAGTACTTGGACAAGGAAGGGAACCATTGTTAGCACAGGTGTCTTTCAAGTGGAGGAGTAATGCTCACCTCTCTCACATGGTGGCCTAGGTCTGGAGCGCGGGCTGGGCCTGGGGGGGCTGAGCGGACAGATGGCTGTCACCACCCCCTGTTGTGCAGGGTCGTTTCCCCCTTCCTGCCGATGGTGCTGAGGCATGGACCCTTCCTGGCAGGTCTGGGTACAGACTCCGGGCAGGCGGGATGGGAGGAAGGAGAGAGGGCTCCATCTGTGAGGCAGGGAAGGCGGGTATCTCCTTTCGCCTCAACACGCTCCCGTTGTTCCTCTGATTTCTTTAGGTTGCCCAGGAGGAAATTGGGAACATCCTGGCTTTTCTCGTTCCTTTTGTAGCCTGCATTTTCCAGGTGGGTGAAACGCTGGTATCTTGGTGAGTGGGTTAAACTTGTGGCCCTTCTTGTCTATCTGTTATGGCCATCAGTGAGTTTCTGATCCCAGTTTTGTTTCCTCTTTGTCTTGGTTGAAATCCTGGACCACACTGAGCCCCTACTAGAAGAACCTTGGCCCATCCTGCCAAATCCTCACCTTTTATGGAGAAAGAGCTTTCGGCATGGGAAGGGAAAGCCACTTGTCCAGGGCCATGGGGCCACTGAGAGCAGCAGATCCAACAGTGCAGGGTGGAAATGGCCTTGCGCCAGAGGCTGCAGGGAAGATATGCTTGCAAACCTCTAAGGAGGTTGAAAGTTGCAGTTTGTTTTTTTTTGTTGTTGTTGTTTTAAATAGTGATACTTTCTGATTCAGATCTGTTCCTTAGGGAATGAAACTAAAATTAGATTATTAACTAGGGGCTGTAGCCCTGTGCAATTTGGCATGCCTGTAATCCCAGCTTCTCTGTTGGCTGAGGGAGGAGTATCACCAGTTCAAGGCCAGCCCGGGCAACTTAGTGAGACCCTGCTTGGGTGGGGGTCAGTGGCAGGAAAGTATTGGGGTGTGGCTCAGTAGTGCAGCACTTGCCTAGCCGTTGGAGGCCCAGGCTTCCATCCCTGCTACCACAGACAAAACAAGAACTAGAGGACTTGATTATTACTCAGTTGCATTCAGATAAGCTGTGTGCTTCAAAGCTGGCACAAAAAGGAGCTTTTGAATCCTTTGTGGGTGAGTTTATTTGAGTAAAAACCTGACTTTTATTCTCTTTCCTTGCCCTCCTTTAGGCTAGGATTTTAGTGCTTTCTTTGCATGTTTAAGCTTGTTTTTTTTTCAAAGTTAAAATTTCTTTCTTTAGGGCACTTCTCTGCTCTTTCACATGGATCTTAGAATGGTTTCTTTTCTTTTTTTTGTTACTGGGGATGGAACTCAGGACCTTGCACTTTTGAGGCAGATGCCACTGAGCTAAATTCCTGGCCCCTATAGTGGTTTTTTCTTAAAAATTACTGTACCTGATTTTGAAAAAGGAAGTTTTCAACCCCAAAATGAAAATGCACTTTTTTTTCCTTTGAAAACTAGTCCTCAAACTTGGCCGCAGCCGGTGGCAGTTCCTCGGAGCCTGCCTCTCAGGGCTGCAGGGGCCCTAGAGTTCCACCTTCGTTTCTTCACCTGCGTTCCTCCTTGGTTAGCTCCTGCTCCCAGGACTCTCCCTCCCTCTGTAGCCAGAGCCAGCATTGAATTCCTCTGTGTTCTGAGAACATGCTCTTTTAAAATGAACATCAAACTGGAAATGTGTTCCCAGCGTTCGCGGAGCAGGAATAGCCCCTTTGTGTGTGGTGGCCCTGGATGAGACCCAGTGGCGCACCCTGCTGGGAGCCTCCTTCACTCCCAGAGGCTTCTGTGTGGCCGGGACTCAGAAGCCGGCCAGTGAGAGCACAGCACCTCCTCATGCTTGCTGGAGGAGAGCTGCCCTGGGGTCTCCTGCCCTGGCCCTGCCACCTGCCTCTTCTTGTGCCTGCAGATGTGCTGCCCCGGCCCTGCCTGTCACACCTGCTTCTCCCACGTGCCCGCTTGCACCCAGAGTCAGCAGCCCGAGCTGCTGGTAGTGAGCCTGGTCCCTGAGTCCGTGTGAGTTGGTGCTGTACCCAGTGGTCTGGCTGTGGCCTTGCAGTTGTCCCTGACGGTTGGTCATGTGGTCTCTCGCAGTGCTACCTGTACCTGTTCTACAGCCCGGCCCGCACGGCGAAGGTGCTCCTGATGCTGCTTTCCATCTGCCTGGGCAACGTGTACCTGCATGGGCTGCGCAGCCTGTGGCAGATCCTCTTCCACGTCGGGGTGGCGTTTCTGTCCTCACACCAGACCCTCACGCGGCAGCTGCAGGAGAAGCAGTCGGACTGTGGTGTGTGAGGGTGCCCACGGCGCTGGCCCTGCCCGGAGGGTCGGTCCCCGCCTCCTTTCCTGCTCTACTCAGCCCACTCCCCGCCAGAACTTGGGTCCTGGCACCCAGTGAGTGGTGCTGAGCATGCCAGCCTGGTCCGCCTAGGGCACGTTCGGGAGGGTGCCCGCCTGGACAGCGGCGCAGGCTGGGTCTGCTGAGTTAGGCAACTGTCCTGCACCGCTCCAGAAGCCGCTCTGAAACCAGATCCGCTCCACAGCCCACGTAGGACTCAGCATTTTTCTTTTGAGGAGAGGGTCAGACAGGGTGAATTGAAAACCTAGGTAGAGTTCATAAATACAAGCTAGATAAATCTTGTTTATATTTTTGAGAACTTAGGTCTGCTATACCTTTGGAATATTTATATTTTGGATATAAATTGAACTTCAGCAGGATGAGAACAAATTTAAGCTGAGAGAATGGCAGAGAAGCCTGAGCTCATTTAATTTTGAAAGGGTATGTAACCCTGTAAGGGGGTCTGTGAGGGCATTACTTGTGCTTACTTGCCAGGTGGTATTGGGAGTTTTTAATCGGTTGAGCAGCCAGCGCTGATGCCCAGTCAGCCTGGAGGCCCATGCAGGGACAGGACTCTGGGCGCCCGACACCGGCCACAGATGCAGGAGACCAGGGGAGGGGACCTTGTGCCGTGTCCCATACCTGCTCAGAGAGCTCTCTTGTTTTGGTAGTGATGAGTACGTGACCCTGTGCACCTCTGCCCAGAGGGCCGCTCGAGGTAATTCTCCTCTTCCTTTCTCGAGAGTCTCGTTTTTAATGGGCCTCATTTTTAATGAACAAAAAGCCAGGATGTAGCTGGGCATGGTGGTGTATGCCTGTCATCTTGCACCGTGGGAGGCTAAGGTAGGAGGATTGTAAGTTCAAGCCCAGTCTGGGCAACTTAGTGAGACCTTATCTCAAAAAAAAAATTTTTTTTTAAAGGCTGAGGATGTAGCTCAGTATAAGGGCCCTAAGTTCAATCCCCAGTACTGCAACACACTCACAACAACCAAAGTAGGTGTTAATTTCCTAAATTTTATAAAGGTATAACTGACATATTATTAAAAAGTTGGTTATCATTTTCTAAAGTATGGCTCTAGGTGAGTTCCCTTAGCTTCTGGGTGCCTGTCTAGCAGAGAGAGCACAGGGTGTCTGAGAACCCTGCTGTCTGAGGGGCTGAGCACGCCTGCCAGGGCACAGGGAGTTGGGTCCTGGGGCCTGTGAGCTGCAGGTCTCACTCGGATGCCTCTAAAGGGGGAAACCATCCCAGGGGCGAGGATATGGCCGGAGAGTTCACGTGCATTTGGTTATCGCTGGTATTCATTGCTTTTGAGCTACTTTGGAATCATTTTGGGAAAACAAATTTCTGTGACTTGGAACTGGATTGGGGAAATAGTCTCTTGTGCTGGGATTTTCTGTTAGAACCCAGCTCATGTCTGGATGTGCAAAGCATCTTGGCAGCACCCTCATCAGGTGTAAACGTGGAGGGCTGCTTCCCTACACCCAGCAGGTGAGTTCAGTCTGCCCGGGAGACACCGTGAGGGTTGTGACAGCGGGAAGGGGCCAGAGGGGAGAGAGTCCCTTGTAAATGGGAAGAAGCACAAGAGAGCTCGGCTGAAACGGCACAGGAACACACTTTGAAGCTTGCGTGGCGTGGTGTCATGTGGCCCTGTCCCCCGGGTGCTCTGTGTCTGAGCTGTGACCTACTCAGCTGGCGGGTTAGAAACAGTCCCCGGAGGTGGCCTTGCTGGTGCCCGCAGAGGTACCGCCGGAGCCGTCCCGCACAGCCCTGGGTGAGACTCAGGAGGGTGAGTGCGGCAGCTGCGTGGCCGGAATCCTGTGGAGGGAGGCTCTGCCCTGGGGGCTGAGGATGGAGCGAGTGCTGGTGCTTTTGCTGCAAGGAGGCCCGGACTTGGGTGGCCATGCTTCAGGTGCCCTGTGGTCTGATGGCGGGAGCTGGTCCCCCATCCAGCAGGGGCTCTTCCGCCCTGGACTCGCTGCTGGCCAGGTCTTCGATTTCCCGTGACCAGATGCTCCCGCCGGGCACCTCAGGGCCAGATGTGGGGCAGAGGACACATTGTTGAGGATAGAAACTTCAAAGTGCCTGCAGCCCCCTGCCCCCGTGCCCTTGTGGGGCAGGGCAGGGCTGTGCACGGGAGGACGCAGCGTTCCCTCCCTGGGGCTAGCCGTGTATGATGAGGACGGGCAGCAGGGCCCGTTGGGGTGGCTGTCCCTGGACCAGAGGCCCTGTGGCCTGAGTCCTGGACTTGCTCCTTGGGCTGGTGCTCACTACTCACGGAACCTGTGCTGTGCGAGGTGAGCCACACCTGAATTCTTGAAAGGCTGGGAAAGGGCATCGGAGTGCTGGGAGGAGGCATTTCCATCCCCTCTTCCCTCCTGTGAGCCCCTTCTCTCGCTTCCTTGCCTCTCCACCGCTGTGCTCCCACCCCAGGGACACAGGGAGCTTGGTGCCTGGGGGACGGGGCTGTCACTGCCGTGGAGAGGGTGCCCAGCGCTGCTCACAGATGACAGCCACAGGCGGGCCCTTGGGGCCTGGGTGGCAGGGGCAGGACTGGGGGCTCTGTAAGGCAGCAGCTGCACCTTTGTCCATGGCCACCATGGCTGTCCCTTGCAGGCCTTCAGAGAACCTGCTTTTGGGTTCCAGGATGCAGCGCAGGTGTGGACCAGCAAGGATCAGCTGTGCGGGATGTGGCTTCCATCCCAAGTGTCCCTCGCAGAGTCTTGCCCAACCTGGGGAGGCCCTGCCTGTACACTGGGTGCTTTGGATAGTGGGGGATGAGCAGGATGTGCCCTTGGGAGATGGGGTGGCTCCCTGGGTGGCTTGCGGACATCTGGGTTCTTCCTGTCACGAGTCACAGTGGACGTGGCTGCCCGCCAACCTGTTTCCCTCCCTGGGAGTGATGGTAACATCACCTGTGGCCCGGTGCTCTGTGGTAGTGAGGACACTGTGGGTCCGGGGCCGGTGCGCGTGGAGAAGCCTGGGTTCTCCGCAGTTCTCGCGGTTGCCTGTCCCGGCCGCACAGAAGGCGTGTGTGGTGCTTCGGTGTGCGGGGCTCCTCTTCCGCCCAGATTCCTGACCCGTCCTCTGCTGCAGGCACGGAGCCCCTGCAATAGCAAATTTCTGTTGCTGGGGAAACCTCGTCAGTGGGGACACAGAGAAGGCTGTCGTTAAAATCGGAATGGCAAATGAAGGGACACCTACCTGTGACTGTCAGCCGGGCTGGGGCTCATGGCACCTTCATTTTCCTAAAGCTGGAGCCCATGCTGTTCCTAACCTGTGCTTGGTACCCGTGAGCCCGTCCACCTCCGTGCTCCCGACAGCCCCCCTCGGGGTCATGGGCCTAACCCCAGGTCAGTCTGTGTGGTGGACTGTTCTGCTCAGAGCTTAAGCCCCGATGCCGCTTACTGCATGGGCTCCTCTGCTTTTTTTTTTTTGCTTATTTTCTTGCTGTTTTCATGGAACCACAAAGGTCTGCTCTGAGTACAGGATTGGTGCGTTTTGACAGCCTCACTGGGAAACGTGTGTCACTGTGCAGGAGGCAGGCTGTGTGGCCGCCGTTTATATCTCGTGTGTATGTGAGAGAGTGGGCAGCTGCTGAGCGGGAGGGGAATAAATCTGACTGTTTGCTAAGGCAGCGTTGTCTCGAGCAGTTCTGGCTTGTGGGTCCTTTCTCACCGGTGGGTGTGGACAGAAGCGACACTGTGACTCTCAACTGGTGCAGGCTTCAGATGGCCTTCAGCACCAGCCCTGGCCTGCCCCACCTGCTGGGTTCCTGCCCCTCTACCCGGTCCCAGCATCTCCCAGGACCAAGTTATCACCCATGGCCACCAGGGGGCACAGCTGCCTGCCACAGCCACAGGTTCCCAGCCCAGGGTCGCTGGGTCCTGCAGCAGCTGACAGAATTTACAGAGAGGAGGCCGAAGTCAATGTCTTGCACACCGGGGCTGCATGCGTGGGGCGGGCAGTTGCATACCATTTGCCCTGACCCTGAGGCTTCGGGAGGAAGGCGAAGCTTCCTAAATAAACACCGAATAGCCGGCAGATCATGGTGCCCAGGTGGAGAGCCGAGTCCTGCCCCAGGAGCCGTCACAGGACCACAGACTCTGTCCCCCGGTGGTGGCCAGGGCCTGTCCACCCACCACACGGCAGAGCGGGCTGGGTCCACTGAGGCTCCGTTCTGGGGCAGCCTGGGTCGCCGTCTGTTCTCCTGGCCACTGCCCAATTGGGCCGGGTGGCATAAATGCTGCCACCAGCTGCTGGTCGTGCTTGGGCATCGCCTACATGCATGACAGTGTCCTGTCTGGCTCTGCTGGGCTGCCCGAGAGGCTGGCGACATCCATAAAGTTCAGTGAGGAACAGGAGGAGTCTCTTTGTGGCCGGGAGTGGAATGAAACGGTATATGTCTTAGCAGGGTGCAGTGGTGCACACCTGTAATCCCCACTCTTCAGGGGGCTGAGGCAGGAGGATTTCCAGTTTGAGTCCATTCTGGGTGAATTTAGCAAGACCTTGTCTCAAAATTAAAAAAAAAAATTAAGCCTGAGTTTAATCCCTAGTGTGGAAAAAGCAAAAAACAATACAAAAGAAGGAAAGGTAGTTCTTAAAAATGTCACAGGCAAAACTCCAAAAGCAAATTTGATTACAAATAAAGTACTAGTCACAGTTGTAAGAACAGAACATATGATCCTTGGAAGCAGTAGGGTCCGGATACAAGCAGTATGTGCATATCAGCAAGTCAGACCCAATCCCAATGAAATTACAAACATGAAGACAGAGAAATAAACACACACTGAAACAGGAAGCGCTCATTTGCCAAACAGGAGGCCACCAAGTGCAGCAGGGGGTAGGACGTGGAACCACCTTTCCACCCGCAGCAGGGAGAGGCACAGCATGACTGTAGACCTGTGCTGCTTGGTGTCACCCCAAACTCCTACACTGAGGTCTCGGCAGAGTTCAGATGCAGAAGTTCAGGTGGAAGTTTGGGTAAAATGGCAGTGTGGGTCCTTATATGAAGAGATCAGAGCTGATGTGGTGGCATGTGTCTGTAATCCCAGCATTTAGGGAGGCTGAGGCAGGAGGACCTCTGAGTTTGAAGCCAGCCTGGGATTCATATCAAGATCCTGTCTCAAAAAACGAAGTAAAAGAGATTAGGACATGGGAAAGGCCAGATGAAGGGTGAGAAGACAGCCCCTGTACACCTTGATCTCTTGTCGGCCTCCAGAATTGTGGAAAATAAATGCCAGTTACTTATGCCCCCTGACAGCCTCGCTGACCAGCACAGCCAGATCAACCAGTGTGGGGATCTCAGTTCGGGTCCTCTGCCCTGGGAAAACAGACCGTTAGGTAGTGGGTGTAGAGAGACGCTCATGGAGGCAGAGTGCGACCTGTGACCGTGGACGGCTGCATGGCGCCCCGTCGGGGGCTCACCGGCACCCTACGGGAAGGTCATGCTAGCAGAGATGTGTGAGATTGTGTGAGCCGCCAGGGGTGCAGCTGCGGCGGGCAGGGGTGCCCCTGGTGTAAGTCCTTCTGGCCCAGAAATAGCCTTGCTGGCCCCAGGGTGGAGCAGGCAGAGGGCAGAGGTGGCCAGGACCGCCGCTGCCCTGGGAGACTCCTGGCCCACGGGCATGGCCAGGCTGGAGCAAACTTTCTCATGGAGCTGTCCAGCAGGGCTGAGGGGGTGGCGAGCTGCCCTGGCTGAAGTGTTAGAGTCCAGGGGGTGGGTCCGAGGGGTCTGGGGACACACTGGTCCCATCTCACAGGCTCTGTCTCATCCTGCATCCGGTGTCCGAGGGGACATTTCCCTATCTCCATCCTGAGGCCAGCCAGCGCCAGCCGCAGGAAGCAGCCCGTGCCAGCCCCCGGCCGGAAGAGTAAATATTAGTCTCTTCAGGAGCGGCCTGTTCTCTGTCACTGGCACAGAGGACACAATGGGAGGGGCCTCTGGATCCCCACACCCAGATGGAGCCTGGGGCCGGGTCGCTGGAGGAACGGGTCCTGCTGCTGGCCACTGCTCGGCCATGCCCCTGACCTGTGCCAGGCTGTCCCCAGCGGCTGCCCAGCACTGTCCAGGTGGTGTCACAGAGGCAGGCACTGGGCCCTGACCTGGACAAAGGGTCTCAGCCTGTGCAGAGGTGGTTTTGGGTCCTCGGTCACTAGAAAGGGGACAGCCTGTCCCGGCCCACTGTCCCCTCACTGGCAGGGCTGCCCCTCCTAACTTGCCTCGCCTTGCTGAATCCACTCAGCTCCTGCACTCACCTCTAAGGGCTCAGGGATGATTTGTGGGTGAGTATGTGGGTGACACCGAGAACACTAACGAGCTGTGACCCTTGTCCCTGCACCCCGGTTCTACCCCCGCAGCCCCTGACACTGTGACCGGGGAAGGCTGAGGAGCTGCTGTGGCTGGGAGCAGGGCGTGGTGGGCAGCACAGGGAAGAAGGCAGAGGACCTGTGCGCCGGCGCTGTCCCTGGCTCCCTGTATCCCCCAGGCTCCTCTGGGTGACTGTGGTGGACGGATTCAGCGGCAGAAAGGGTTGCTCTCGGGCAGGAGGAGGCAGAGCTCTGTGTGGCTCTGGGCCGCCTGGGGACTTGGGCCACGATGCCACCCTGCACTGGCAGCTCCCCAGTGGTGCTCAAGTCTCTCTGCTGGTTACTTCCATGTGCTGCCGTGCAGGAGGCCCATCCTGCCAGGGGAGGCGTAGGATGGGCGGGGTGCATCCTGCAGCACGGTGGCCCTGAGTGGGCGGTGGGAGGACATTGCCCTCCACTCGTGTTGCTGGCTCAGCAGCCATGCACCGGGGACATCAGTCGCCACGTTCCGCCATGGGAGCTGTGGGCCCTGACCACCACTGGAGCCTGCCCACAAGACGCTTCCTGCAGGAAGCCCACACCGGGCTGGGACACCCTGTAGCCCCCAAGGTACCCAGGAGACAGCATGCCCCACTGGGTCTCCTGCCCAAGCCTGCATCCCCAGCACGGAGCTTTAGGTGAACGGCCCGGCCTGGCCAAGGTGCCTGCTGAGGGGTTTCGGAGGCTCATCTCCTACATACTCTCCTTGCCAGCCGACAGGCCCCAGGTAAGCGAGCGCTGGGTCCGTGACAGCCGTCCACAGCCACGGGGCATGGGGGTCTGAGGCCAGCACAGGGCCCCTGGTGTCCTGCGGTCCACAAGGATGTTCCCGAGCCACTACCTGGCCTCACAGCTTTCCCTGTGCTGCAGCACCACACAGCGTGGTCTTCCCGAGCACAGGGAGGTCAGCAGCACCCCTAGTTCCCTTCCATGTTGGCCTCCGTGCTTGGGTGACACCTGGGGTCAGGGTGAGGCCAGGGTGCAGAATTGAAGAGGGGAGACAGAACAACTCAGCAATCAAGGTAAATAGTTTAATATTAAAAAAATTGTTAGTGTAAAAATACATGATGAATAAAATATGAAGATTTTAAATACAGTCGGAATCCGCATCGCTAACTGGACAGGCTCTTCCGTTTTCCATGCATGTCACCCTGTGACCTCACCTTTGAGGGGCCAGACAGCAGGGTGGCACTGGGCCTGAGGCGAAGCTCTGCCCGTGACTGAGGTGACCCCGGGCAAACCCCTCCTGCCCCATGAGCCCCATGTAGAGGCAGGGGTGTCACCACGAAAGCCTCCTGACCTGTCCTCCTCATCCCCACAGCCGGCCGAGGTCCCTTCCCTCGCCCTGAGGCTGTGTCTCCAGGGCCACTGACTCCTGGCTATTAATATCCCAGCCGCTCTGGCCGGAGCAGGGTGCTTAATGACTGCCAGCTGCTCTGACCCCTCCCCAGGGACAGACAGGAGCAGTTCCTGTTCCCACGGGGGAGAGGAGCCAGACCAGCAGTGGGAATGCAGGGCTGATCTGGCCCCAGCCCCACCCCACCCCGCACCCCAAGTGGGGGTGCCAGAGACCCTGCCGCTGCACCCTTGGCCTGGCCCTGTCCTTCAGGTCCTCACTGCATCCTGGGGTTCCTCCCAGATGTCCCCAGCCAGGCCCTCCTGCTCCATCCCCTGTGGATGGTCCAGCAGCTTTCGCAGCTCTCCCCTTGGCCTTGTCCTGGAAGCCTGAGCTATGCTCCCGCTGGCCAGGGTGGAAGGGCTGTCCTTGTCTGTGCCAGCACACGGGCCTGGAGTGGTGGAGTGACTCCCGTCTGGGCTGGGACACACTGTGCACCTGGGCTAGTGGGGGGCAGGCTCAGCCAGGTAGGGTCCTCCTGGCTGGTCCCAGGGCCAGGGGCGGATGGAGACCTGCTCTAGCTTTGTCACAACCAGAGGAGAGGATGCACCTCCAGAAGAGGCAAGCTGTGGGCCCTCAGTGTGTGCTTGCTGTGCAGAAATGTGGCTCCTTGCCCAGGCTGGCCGAGGTGGCATCAGGCTTTTGGTGTTTGGACCTCTCCTGGAGGAGGTGTGATGGCTGCAGACAGGAAGCCAGGCCACGTGTGTGCTGCAGCGTTTGGGCAGAGTCCACCAGGTCAACCCATAGGGCCACCGGAGCTGCTGCAGCCTGGGGGGTCTTCAAGCAGGGACACAGTGAATCCTGACACCTGGGCTGGGGCCTCCTCAGCAGCACTCCAAGGTTGGGGATTAAGGGATAATGGCACTGACTAGGATGACAGAGCCCTAAGAGGAAAGCGTGCTTTCCCCTCCCTGCAGCCCGATCTGAGTTCAAATCCTGTCTGGATGACGGGCAAGAACTCTGCTGTCGGCCGAGACTCAGTTTCCACATCTATGAGATGGGAACCATAATTCCTGCCCTGCTGGGTTAGTGTGAGGCCTAAGGGGCCACGGCCAGCGCAGCAGGGACACTGGGGTGAGCGCTGAGCGGGCGGATCCGAGGGCTTCGGTTGTGTAAGGCTGGTGTGATGGGTCCCACGGGACGGGCCGCGAGGCCCAGCACCCCGGGTGCCACTGTTCCTCCCTGGGGACGCCGGCACCCACTCCTGCCCCACACCCCAGCTTCTCATCACAACCCTGCCTGCGCCGGAGGTAGAGAGCCCACTCACGGAGGAGCCGCCCCTGGGGGCGCCGGGC